CGAGATGGACCCCAAAACGGCTACAATGGCCCCACCGTGCCTCCAGAACGGCCCAAGATGCTCCCAAGGCGGCCTGAGACTGCCTCAAGATGGCCCAAGGCGGCCCAGGAGGCCCCCAAGAGGCCTCCAAGACGGCCCAAAAGGCCTCCAAGAGACCGTCCAGCAAGGCCCGCAAAAGTCAAAATCAATGATTCCCCTCCAGGGGTTTGAAAGACTTACAACTTTGTTTCCCCTTGGCTTTCTGACGGCCCAAACTGGCCCAAAAGGCCTCCAAGGTCACCCCAAGATCGCCCAGGAGGCCTCCAAGACGGCTTCCGCCAGCGCCAGAAGGACCAGAAACGCCAGAAGACGGCCGAACAAACAACCAAGAAGCGCCCAAAAAGTGCCCAAGAGGCCCCAAGAGGCCCCGAAGAGGCGCCCAAGAGGCTTCAGAGCTCCCCATGTGCGCATATCATGTTTTATGTCATGCGATAGTGAGCGTCTGTTCATGAGCGCTTGACTATACTAGCGCGTCCACATGGGCGACAGGGCCGACGAAGACGAGTGAATCCGAATGCGAGTGAGTGAGTATGAGTCAGAGTGAGCTTTGAATGTGATTGAAAATGAGCCTCCCATTCATTTCCCCCAGATGTTCCCCGAAGGCTCTCCAAACCAACTCGGGGAACACATGGTCCGATAGCTAGGGCAAGCTCCAGTCACAACATTCGGACACATAGGCTCTTCCAAAAAGGCAGGGGCCGACGGTGACTCGCGGCAGGCGTCTTCGATAATATATGGAAAGATGCCCCGGGTGTCCTCGGGTTTCGTATGGGATCGTATAGGACTCGATCGTGGGCATTTCGCAGCGGCCTCCACCCTCCAGCGCCTCGGGGCGCCACCTGTCGCGGAGCGAAAAACCCGCCGAGGCGAAGCAGCTCTTACCGCGTAAGACTCGACGCCCGCACGCGTTGTGCCCAGTCGCGCAGCGATGCGCCACCCCCGTCGCGGAGCGAGGCCACCCACCAGTCATGGAGCGAGACTCCTCGCGGACGCGCCATCCCCAGTCGCGCTGCGAGGAGCCAACCCTGGTCGGGGGGCGGGGCGCCCGCCAACCAGCACGGAGCGAGACCCGCGCGGATGCGACGCGCGACGCCTTCTCCCCTTGAAGGGGGGGGGGCGCCGCGCGGGGGCAGAGGCGAGACAGAGACTGCTCCGCTGGGCGCAGGCTAGGCAGGTGTCTGGGGGCTGGGACACGGGTGGCACAAGCGCGCACTTGAGCACTCCTTCCCCCGCAATCCCGATGAGGTGGCATGCGTGCGCGCGTTCGCTTGTGAGTCTCTCTCTCTCTCTCTCTCTCTTTCTCTCTCTCTCTCTGTATCTCATTTCCTTGTCTCTTTCACTCTCTTTCTCTCCCTCCCTCCATCTCTCTCTCTCTCTCTCTCTTTCTCCCTCTCTCCCGCTCTTGTTCTCTCTCTCTCTCTCTCTCTCTCGCTTTCTCTCTCTCTCTCTCTCTTTCTCTCTCTCCCTCTCTTTCTCTTTTTTGTCTCTCTCTCTCTCCCCCTCTCTCTATATATATACAGCTGTTTCTCCTCCTCATCCCCTCGCTCCCAGCCTTCTTGTCTCCCTCTCCCCTCCCTGCCTCCTCCTTCCTCCTCGTGCACGCCATCATTAACCCCACCTCCCTCGAGGAAACGCCTATGATGAACCGAAGAGATGCCAACAAGTCCTGGACGCAGAAATGGTGGGACTCGAGGCGCCCCCACCAGGATCCCGAGGGGGCGCCAACAAGATCCCATGATGGCCCCCAGAGGGACCCAAGGGGCAAGTTTTTATGACGTCCATGGGTCGGGGGTGAACAGGACCCCTTCAGAAAAGTGGGTGATGAGAAGTCATGCGGGCCGCCAGCAGAGAGGAAGAGAAGAGTTTATACGGGATTAAAAAAATTAGCCTGACGAGGGACCCAACCATATGCAGGTGTGAGTACCGCAATAGTGATTCACTTTTTCGGTGGCGATCCCTATGAGGCAACGAACCGTGCTAGGGGTGTGCCGACAAGAGTGGCGTGGTACACAACGCGAACGAAAACGATTGATCTGAGTACGTAGGGAGACTGAGCGCGGGTGAATCTGCGCGCGTGCGTCTGACTGTGAATGATCTGCGTGCGAGCGAGTCTACGTGCATGAATGCAAATATGACAAAGCGTGGTGCAAATGTGTATGAATGCCAATAGTTTGACAACGACTGCCTCTGAATACTCGTGACGCTGGGCGTGGCCGCCGCAAGGAGCTTCCCCGGGACTCCCCGACTGCATCGCCCGCGCGCCGCGACGCCAATGTCGGCGCGCCCCCCCGCGAGGATCGCGCCCGCTTCCTCCCCTTCCTTTACTCCCTCTTTGCCCGCGCACTCAAAAGTCCAAGGTTGCGGGCGCAGCGCAGCGCGGAGTCCCCGCGACGCGCGCAGGTCGCCCCGGAGGGGTCCCAGCGACGCGCGCGGGTCGTCCACTGCGCGGAGCAAAATGAGCTAGCTGGCTGGCTGATAGCGGGCAAGGCTCTTGCCGCTGGGCAGAGAGACGACGGGACGCATGCGGGCACACCCACTGGGACCTTCGGTGGAGCTCCCTATGGGGCCACGAAACGTGTGAGGGGTGTGCCGAAATGGGTGTGCGGGACGCATGCGGACGGCAGCACTGGGGCCTTCGGTGGAGCTCCCTGTGGGGCCACGAAACGTTGGAGGGGTGTGCCGAAATGGGTGTGCGGGCGCCTAGCGGGCACACAAAAAAAAAAAAAAACTGGGACCTTCGGTGGAGCTCCCTATGGGCCACGAAACGTGTTGACTGGGTGTGCCGAGGGGGGTGGGGGGACATGGGTGTGCGGGACGCATGAGCGGGCACAAGCCCACTTGACCTTCGGTGGAGCTCCCTATGGGGCAACGAAACGTGTGATGGGTGTGCCTGAAGGGGTGTGCGGGACGCAATGCGGGCGGCGGGCCACCCACTGGGACCTTCGGTGGCGCTCCCTATGGGGCCACGAAGCGCGTGAGGGGTGTGCCGAAATGGGTGTGCGGGACGCATGCGGGCACACCCCACTGGGACCTTCGGTGGAGCTCCCTATGGGGCCACAAAACGTGTGAGGGGTGTGCCGAAATGGGTGTGCGGGACGCATGCGGGCACACCCACTGGGACCTTCGGTGGAGCTCCCTATGGGGCCACGAATCGTGTGAGGGGTGTGCCGAAATGGGTGTGCGGTACGCATGCGGGCACACCCACTGGGACCTTCGGTGGAGCTCCCTATGGGGCAACGAAAACGTTTGAGGGGTGTGCCGAATTGGGGCGTGCGGGACCATGCGGGGCACACCCACTGGGAACCTTCGGCGGAGCTCCCCTATGGGGGCCACGAAACGTGTGAGGGGTGTGCCGAAATGGGTGTGCGGGACGCATGCGGGCACACCCACTGGGACCTTCGGTGGAGCTCCTATAGGGGCCAGGGCTCAACGGAACGTGTGAATGGGTGTGCCAAATGGAGGTGTGCGGGACGCATGCGGGCACACCCACTGGGACCTTCGGTGGAGCTCCCTATGGGCCACGAAAACGTTGAGGGATGTGCCGACATGGGTGTGCGGGACGCATGCGGGCACACCCACTGAGACCTTCGGTGGAGCTCCCTATGGGGCCACGAAACGTGTGAGGGGTGTGCCGAAATGGGTGTGCGGGACGCATGCGGGCACACCCACTGGACCTTCGGTGGAGCTCCCTATGGGGCCACGAAACGTGTGAGGGGTGTGCCGAAATGGGTGATGACGATGATGATGAAGATGGGAGGAGGGAGGGGGCAGCGGGAAGGAAGGAACGCGGGGCGCTGTCTCTTCAAAACGAGGACCCAACACCACAGGATGGTTGGGAAAACCACCCTCAAACAGAAACTCAAAGAAGAGGCAACAGAAAAGGACAAATAAACAAATCAAGATGAAAAAAAAATGACAATTGAAAAGACAGTCCGCAAATTGCGGACGCAGCAGAGTCTCGGAAACTACAGAGAAGACTTCGATAAATAATTAGGCAGGGCGATGGTTCAATCAACCTCCAGCACAAGAATTCGTGCGTGCAGAAATGCCCACTCTGGCATGTGGGGAGTCCGCCCTGGGCTGATGCGCGCCCGCAGGCCTGCGCACGCGCACGCGCGACCCGAAGCAGCAACACACACACACACACACACACACACACACACACACACGTTGTCATCCAGCGGCCGAGTGACGTCACCACAGCAAGAGCTAGAATGGTCTGCAAACTATCGTAGTTCCACGCGGCGTAGCAAGCGGATGTCTAGACACACACACACACACCGAAATCTGGCACGGCGCACGACAACGCTCTCGCATTGCGTTTCAAGATCAGGCCATGTGGACGGAGGGCTCACCGAGGGCATCGAGGACACCAGGACGTGAGCCGAGCCCAATCACCTCGAGCAGCAGAAGGAGGAGGAGAGTGTAGTGGAGAGGAGGCGGAGGAGGAAGGACGGGAGGAGAATGATTGAGGGAAACGGAGGGAGGAGGAGGGAGGAGGAGGAGGAGGGAGGGAGAGGGGCAGGCGGAGAGCAAGGACAGCCCCACAAAACCGACTCGCGTGTCCAAGGAGCCCCCCCTGCTGAGCAAACGAGATCATGATGAGTCCCCTCTTCGGGGCCCGCCACGGTTCCGGCTTTGAAAGCTCGATGTCGGTTTTGTCATTAGGTGCTCTGTATGGGTAACAGTCCTGAACACCTTCCTGAGGCCACTCGTTCCATTCATGCGTCGATGCTGCGTCGAACGCCTGTGACCTCAATTGAGTTCGAACCGAAATAGACTCGAACATGGGTCAAAGTAGAATCGAACGGATCCGCCAGGCGGACCCCAAGAAGGTCCCCCAAACGAGCATGAAACTGTTTGGGTAAAGGGGGAAGCGCGGCAGCATCCAACTCCAGCTCTGCGCGCGGCCGAGGTCACGAGCGCGAAGAGAAAAGTGGTGTGCCGCGGAGCGGGAAGTCCTGCGCCTTGCGGTCGTAGGCGGCCGCGAGGGAGAACCGCCGCAGTGTGGAGCCACGCCACCTTTCGCTCACGGCGAAAGAAGCGACTATGGACCCGTTGTTACCCATCGGTTTTCGGCGGTCTTCGGCGTCTTTGATGGTTGTCTGGCGGTGTTCGGCAGTCTTCAGGGGTCTTCGGCAGATTCTGGCGGTCGCTCGGAGAAAAACAATGGATGGGTGCTTTCAACAAGCGACCCGTGATCGAGCACCTAGAAAGGAAGGGTCGCGAACAAGACAGCAGCTGAGCAGCGGGATTCGCAGCTCGACGCGCCCGATGGGGGCGACGCGAGTCGAATCGCACGCCTTGCACCTGGCCCGTGCGCTTTGCCACCGGGGGCCCCTGACAAGCAATGACTGGCATCGGGCCTCGACACTGAGGAGCAGAATCCCTGGACACCTGAAGAGCTCTTCGCGAGACGCGTCTTGCGTGCTGCCAGCCCTCGGCATCCCCATGCGTTTCCTTCCTTTCAGTCCTCGTGTTCGTTTCTCCTTTTCCTCCCTCCCCCGCGCTACCTCGTTCCAGCCTTCAAAACCATCCTCTGGCAGGAATCTAGCGCCGTCTCCCAACAAGCCCGACCCTCCCCCACGAACACAATCTATCTTTGGTGTGGCTGTAGAGTCCGCGGCCTCCAGCCTTATCCTGTTGCGCGACCTACTCACGGAATCGAGTCCATGTAGAATTAAGAGCCGCACGCTGAGCTCTAACCGCATCCTGTCTGGCACTGGATTCGAAAACTCAGATCACCTGGCCCGAAGCCTCTCTGAGAACACGCAGACCCCGAACCCAAGCGGTAAGAGGGACGACGCTGGCGCGGAGCCAGCCATGTCGCGAATCCGCTCCAAACCTCTGCTCGGCTTGCGGCGCGCGCAGTCCTTTGGGAGATCGACAAAGTCAGACAGGAGAAAACTCAGAGCCCACCAATGGGCTATAGGATCCCGGGACAAAGCAAACTGGGCCCCCTGGCCCTCCGACCTGTTCTGAAGCTCGCGCGGCTGCGCTCGACCTTAAAATATTTGCTGGCCCTCGGGGTGCATGTCTAACATGGCACAAAACAAACCGTCGAAACGAGAGGTTCACTCAGCGTCGGCTTGTCCTACCTGCCTGGCGCCATCCACGTCCAGGTTGAATGCGAGCGAGTCCATCGCGCAGGATGGAACGGAGGTGCGTGCTACAGCGTGGCCGCAGGACTCCCACGAGATGTCTCCTGGCTGGCTGGCGTACAGTCGGACCTCCGGAAGAAGGAACGCGAAATAAGGAACGAAGCCCCTTCTTTGACCCCAAACCCGCCGACGTGGGCGAGGAACGCTGGAGAAATAGCCATGGACGGACCTACTAAGTGTAAGGAACGCCGAGCCCCTTCCCAACCCGAACGGGTCCTTAATTCAACGTCTTGGCTGAAGGGGGTAGCTGATGTTCCGAAAACCTGTTTCTGCTTCGCCGCCTCTTCCACTTGTGCACCCTCTCTGCCTGGAGCTGGCGCAGGTTGCGCCGTAGACTCCTCTTGCTACACCCCAGGCGAGCCGCCTGGGAGATGAGTAAGGACTAAGGGTTCCTGGTGTGCGAGGTACACCAGGTCGCTGCGGCCATACTCCTCTGCTTCCATGAGCTCCCTACGAATGACATCTTGATCTAAATCCGACTGGTCACTGCTCTGCGTGAAATCCTCGGACCCTGGCTCTGCCTCAACGCCCCCATCCTCATTCGTCAAATAACTGAGCGACGGTGGGCCCTTGAATTGAATCGCTGGTCTCCTTCTCAAAGGGGCTGTTTGACAGTCTGCCAATTGCCCAACAAGTCCCCCTTGCTCAGTCAGATCCCGTTCGTCTCCGAACGCTTGCTTTGCGGGTCACGCTGCTTCGTGGGGACAGGATGGTAAACAAATGCTTCTGCTAGAGGTAGGATCCACCGAGACCCTTGATCCAACTGGAGCTTTTAAAACAATTCGAAATGGTCCCCGCCTCCTTCGAAACAAACCTCGTCGTCAACTGCGAAGGAGCAAACAAGCCTCACCATAGAGGCTCACAGCGCCATGTAGTCAATCAGCCGCTTCCTGCCCAAAATACAAGTGTAACCATATCCATCCGCAGTACGCACCGTGCCTTCTACCTGTGGTGGCCATTCAACTCGCTGAAGTCCCTACGGCTCCGCCTTGGAATCACCCATCGCCGGCCAAGGTGCGCGTACACTCTGGAGAACGCCCATCTATATCAGCGGATCGATGCTCGCGCCCTTGAAGCCAATGCCCGCCACGAGGTACACCCCCAAAACCGTAATAGCTTGCCCCCCAGCCTTCAACTGGAAAGCAACCATATCCGTGAGTCCAAATCCCATATTTGTAGTTACCTCTGGTTCTTCCAGCATGCGCAAACCCAGATACTGGTACGGTCTGCTGGCTGGATGGCGAAACGACTGAAGCGCGCATCCCTTCTTCACACCCCCTGAGATGTCGGCCATCCTCTTGATACCACCTGCTGCATACGAAGAAGCCAAGGCTGCTTGATCACTCCTTCCGATCTTCATAACATTCCCCAGGCAAGAGGTGCAGCTGTGGAAAACAAATATGTTGTTCATACTCCTTCAGCAAGCCTTTTGCTTTTCAAAAGAAAACCATCCTGCGAAGTTCTCGAAATACAGAATTTCCATCATGGGCGCGACCATTCTTTCGTCCTTCATACTGCTCGACATCGCGCTCGGGCGGGTCTGCTGGAGATCCAGATCAGCCTTCTCTCCCGCCACCGGCTGGGGAGACGGCTTCGGAAGGCCAGCAGCTGGGACAGGACCTGAAGGGTCAACCCCCGAGGTCGGGACCCCACCTCCAGAGCCTGAGCCAGGAGTCGCACCCTCTGTGGGTGCCCCCTCTGGCACCTTGCGCTTCTCCCTGGCCCTTTCCATGACCTCACGGTGCTGGGCCTGGCCTGGAGGGTACCGTAGGACGCTCTGACTGCCTCGGACAGTGCCTTCTGCAGGGTTCCCTTGGCATCATTGAAAATTCTTCGATCAGCAGCTTGAACTTCCAAACCTTCCAAGTGTGACTCAAGACCGATCTCCAATTCAAGCTGCCCAGCCAGGATATGTTGAACGTCAACTGACGCTGCCTGACACGGGGTTGGTAGAGCAACTGCAAAAAGGGAACTGCTGCGCTGCCGTGATCTCCTCTGATTCCGCTCTGGCCACTTCCTCGGTCGCCTCCTTGAGGTTTCGTTCAGCCTGTCTTTCTTAGCCCTGGCCCGCTTAGACCTGTACTTCTCGAGCTGCTTCTTGACCCGATTGGCTCTGTCAGACGGCCGTTGCAGTCCTCGTCCTGGCTGCATGGGAGGCGTGGGAGGCTGCAAGTCGAGGACCTGCAGGACCTCCTGAGCTGCCTGCTGGGCACGGGAAAGCAAGAGAGCTGCCAACTGCCTGATTTGCTCCGCTGGAGGCTGTCCGCTCGCTGGCTGGCCCCACCCACGCCCATCCCTGAAGGAAGAGGAGCAACAACATCAGGTTGAGAACATTTGCGACCACACACGCAAGTCCAGTCCGTTGACGTGAGACGGTCCTGGAAGAGCTTCTTGCCGCAAGAACTACACTCGACCATGGGCCTGCCCCGTCGATTTCTCCACTTCCCAGATCCACCTGCGAACTGTCGCATGTTAGGCGTCTGCCCTCACGGCAGGGGTGGGAACTCGTGGAGCCATGAGTCGCCGTCTGCGTTGTCTCTGCCACTGCCTTTCTCCCGCTGCACCCACGGCGAATACACAAACTGGCTGTGCCAAGGCTAAGGTGCATCACGCCGGAAGACAATATGCACAATGTAGGTACGCGCAGGGGCGTCGGGGTTAACTCCGAATACCGTATCTGAATGCTGGTGGGGCCGCGTGCGTCTGTGACGCCCGCAATACCGCCACCGCTACGGACTTGAGCAAAAATGGCTACGGAGCTTGGATATAGGATGTAGTCCAACATCGATGTTCGCCTCGGCTACTTTCTTCATTCCTTCTCCCACACTCCTGCCCCCTCTTACTGTCCTCCCCCTTCCCGCGCATCTCGGCCTCCTCATCCTCCTTCCGATTCCTTTTCCCATGACTCTCACGCTCCGCCCCGTTGTCACCACTCCCTCTCTCCCCTCTCCAAAACCTCTTTCAAATCCCAGCGCGCGGAAACACGCGATGCTTGGCACCGTGGGTAAGGGAAAGGCCTCTGCTATGTTACGCGCGCGGCGCGGTATATACATGCAGACGACTAGCAGTAAAATACGAGATATCATACACTAAATATAGAGTAACATCAGATATGTGGCGAATTGTGTTTGTTCCAATAGGACGAAAGGATGCCAGAGCGAGCCCGGTTAAGGTGCCAATAGACCGCCTTAGCCAGAGTAAGCCCGGGATTAAACCAGATGAAATGGGATTCCAAGGAAATCCCTTTGACTATGGCTATACCAGCGCCGATGCTGAATTTAACCTCCCAGGAGTTGCATCCAAAAAAAAGGCGTACGTACCGGGTGGACGACAAGGCCAGGGAGACGGAAGCACGTTCCGACTTGATGCGCGACGCCTGGAGCTCTGAGCACCACAAGAGCACAAGCCACGTCGAGCCTGCCAGTCCACGGGACCACCTTGTCGCCGCGGGTCCTTATTTTAACGGTCCCTGGGGGGGCACTGCCAGAAGCGAAACATGACGAATAAAGAGGTGGACAGCCTCAGGTGGGGCGATGTTCAATGGAATCTCTTCGCTCCAGAGAGAATCAGATGGACGTGCTTTACAATCACACCTGAGAGAGCATGGGCTCCCTGGGCCACTCAACCTCGCGCGCCGCGCCCCGCGAGGCGCGCGCTTCTCCCCGCGCCCTCGCAGGGCCACGTTCTGGAGAGGGGCTCCTCTCCCGCCCAGGCTTCGATCGGGCAGGTCCTCCTACGAGCGGATCTTGGAGGAAAAATGCAACTTAGTCAAACAGTAAACAATAGTTATCACACATATTAGAAGAATCGTCCCCGGACTATTCTTGACTATTTTTGCATACTCCTCCTGTGGAGGGACATGCCCGACGTAAGCCCAAGCCGCGACGACGCAACGTGCAACCACCTCTGCGCCCCCGGGCGGCGGTCTGCGGTAGGTAAGTTCACGTCGCGATGACCTGGGCGTCGACACCGCGCGCATCGTCCCACCAGGAACGACCGCGGCCTCCCAACGGCCGAGATCGCCGCCATCTACTGGCCGAGTACCGTCGGGGCGTTGACCTAAGGAACCCTGAGTTAAGGAGCGAGGTCCCTTTTCTTCCCGTGAGATAAACTTCGACTTCCCATGAAAAACTTCAAGAACACCGAAGGCTAACCGTGAAACTATTCAGGAACACCGAGCCCCTCCCCAACGAAAAGGGCTCCTTCTTCAGCGCCCCGACTGTACGAGGTGCTGTCGGAGTTAAATTCCTGAACGCCCGCGCCCGCGTCGCGGGTCCGCGGGTTTCTGAGAGAAAAATGAGAACGCCAGGGCCATACGCAAGCTTGTCGGAGGTCCGTGCGGATGTCTTGGATCTGCGCCGAACCCTCCTCCCCTTGAAGCGTGGAGCGCGCCAGGGGCGGCACCGGAGGCGCCGCCAGTGTTTCAGCGCAGATCCAAGGGACTCCGAAAGTGCATATATGATACAAATGTGTCCCCAAACATACTCTGCCATAAAAGGGGTTCTTGCCAGGTCATAAAGGCGGTTCTTTCGGAGGCCTCTGCCTGCTTTGCTGATGTGGATGCTGTCATACTTGGGTAAGCTCTTCTTCGAACCACGCGAGCCTGCCGCGGTGGCTCCCCACGACCACCCGGAACATCCTCAATCACGATCTCCAGGGGGAACGCGAAGCGAACGCCAGAGCCGCGTGCTCTCCGCTAGAAAGCCCGCCCGTGCCCATTGAGGCATGGCGTGGAGGCCACGGCCTCGAAAAGGAGGAAGTGAGGACAGGGAGGGATCAGGGAACGGAGGGAGGGAGGCAGGGAAGGAGGAGGAGGAGCAAGGGATGGAAGAAGGGAGGAAGGGAGGGAGGGGTAAGGACGGAGCCACCTCCCGCCCACCCCCACGCGGAGGGGGGCCGGAGCCCGCCGCGGAGCGGCCGCGCCGCCCAGGCGCGACAGGAGGCGGCGGGCGCGCGGATGCAGCGCCATGGGGGCCGCGCCCCTCGGCAATCCAAGGGAAAGGCCGCGAGCGACCCTCCTCCTCTCAGGTGAGTCGCTTGGGAAGTTCGTTCTAACATATGCCGCCACGGCTTGCTAGCCTTTGGGGCCTTTGGCAGCCTTTAGTGCGTTAGTAGCGGCCTCTAGTGGCCTTTAGTTGCCTTTAAATAGTCTCTAATGGCCTTTAGCGGCCTTCAGCCGCCTGCAGTGTCCTTCAGCGGCCTTCAGTAGCCTCTACAAGCATGCAACGAAGTGTATCATGTATGTTGGCATGAGCTTCCGAAACGACTCACTGAACTTCTCCCCCTCCGCCACATTCTCGCCCCCCTCAGCCATTCCTCTCGGAAGGGGGGGGGGAGCCCGAGGTGCGTCGGCCAACTCAGGAGTGTCAATGCTGACGGGAGCCGCCAGGAAGGGTGGTGTCCAACGTCATAAGCTGCGACGCTGGGACTGGGCCCCGAAAAAATATACGGAGCCGCAGCTGGTGCCTCTTCTCTTCCCCTGTCCCACCATCTCCCCCTGCTTTCCCCTCCCGCCCCGCCATCAGGAGAGCTCCGTACAGTTCACCCTCCACGGCGAACTCTGGACGGCAACCGAGGATCGCCGACCGTTCACGAGGAGGGCGAACAGGAGGAGGAGGAGGAGGAAGAGGAAGAGGAGGAGGAGGAGGAGGAGGAGGAGGAGAAGGAGCAGAAGGACGAGGAGGGGGATGAGGACGAGGGGGATTAGGAGGAGGAGGACGAGGAGGAGGAGAAGGAGGAGGAGAAGACGGAGCGAGGAGGAGGAGGAAGACAAGGAGGAGGGAGGAGAGGAGGAGGCGGAGAGAGGGGAGGAGGAGGAGGAGGAGGAGGAGGAGGACGAGGAGAGGAGAGGAGGAGGAGGAGGAGGAGGAGGAGGGGGAGAGGAGGAGGAGGAGAGGGGAGGGAGAGGAGGAGGAGGAGGAGAGGAGGAGGAGGAGGAGGAGGAGGAGGAGAGGAGGAGGAGGAGGAGGAGGAAGGAGGGAGGTAGAGGAGGGGGACGAGGCGGGGGAGGTGAGGAGGAGGAGGAGGAGGAGGAGGAGGAGGAGGAGGAGGAGGAGAGGAGGAGGAGGAGGGGGAGGAGGGGGGGGGAGGAGGAGGAGGAGGAGGAAGGAGGAGGAGGAGGAGGAGGAGGAGGAGGAGGAGGGGGAGGAGGAGGAGGAGGAGGAGGATAGGAGGAGGAGGCGGAGGAGAAAGGAGGAGGAGAAGGAGGAGGAGGAGGAGGAGGAGGAGGAGGAGGAGGAGGAGGAGAGGAGGAGGAAGGAAAGGAGGAGAGGAGGGAGGAGGAGGAGGAGGGAGAGGAGGAGGAGGAGGAAGGAAGGGGAGGGGGAGGAGGAGGAGGAGGAGGAGGAGGAGGAGGAGGAGGAGGAGGAGGCGGAGGAGGAGGAGGAGGACTGAAGGCTGTAAAAAAACTTTGTCCTCTCAACAAACATAACAGAGAACGGTTAGAAGACAACGTCGGCCGTGACTCGCTGCCCGCACGAGTTATTTAAGGCTCCTCGGCCAAGAAAACCACGACCAACCCTGCCGAATCGAGTGGCATGCGCAACTGGACTGAACGAGATCCCGTGGGGGTTACGGCATGCGCAACTGGCATACGGCTAACCCAGGGCGGGTGGACACAAGATCCCGTGGGGGGTTACGGGCCACACGACCCCACATCCCGTTTAAATGCGCAATCCCCGTGCCTGGTACCCATCTCCAGGCCACGGGCGCAGCTAAGGCGCCACATGCGGACAAGCAAACTGCTTGCCGCTGGCTCCGAAAATTGGACCCGTTTGCTTCCCCCCTTGCCTGCTACAACGGGCAACCCTGATAATTTGCCCTGTACGTGAAGACTGAGTGCCAGGATACGATACCCAGTGCCCACGCGTGGAACGGATGAGGAGGAAGAGGAGGAGGAGGAGGAGGAGGAGGAGGAGGAGGAGGAAGACGAAGCGGAGAAAGCGGAGGAGGCGGAGGAGGCGGAGGAGGCGGAGGGGGCGGAGGAGGAGGAGGAGGACTGAAGACTATAAAAAGACTATGTCTTCCTAGCAAGCAGACCAAGGAACGATGACAAGACCACGTCGGCCGTGACTCGCTGCCCGCACTAGACGGCTCGGTACGTAGGGTGGCAAGGTCCCCTGACGCCTTCACCGTTATGCTAGGCTCCTCGGCCAGGAAAACCATGACCAACCCTGCCGAACAAAACGGCATGCGCGACTGGACTGTGCGAAGACAAACCCAAGGCGGGTGGACACAAGGTCCCATGGGGTTCACGGGCCACACGACCCCACCTCCCGACCAAATGCGCTATGCCCGTGCCTGGTACCCACCTCCAGGCCACGGGCGCAGCTAAGGCGCCACATGCGGACAAGCAAACTGCTTGCCGCTGGCTCCGAAAATTGGACCCGTTTGCTCCCCCCCTTGCCTGCTACAGCTGGCAACCCTGATAATATGCCCTGTACGTGAAGACTGAGTGCCAGGATACGGTA